CCGAGGGGCATCCGCACTCGCGCGCCCCGGACGTGACATATTCTTTAAATCGATCCATGTCTTATCGCTCGTAATCAAAGTTTACAATTAAATGAAAAAAAGCTTTGTACACTGTTTATGTACACTCTCAGATCGGTGACATATAGTGACGCGCTAAGAGAAGCGCCGATATTTCGGCTGCTAAACAAAAAAAACATAACTCTTCTGCAGTAAATGTGGAATGCAGGATGTGCAGGTATCCACACAAAGGCGAATACTCCGAGTCGAACGCACCCCCTTTTTTTGTCAACGATTTCTGTTCGCGATGATGAGCTGCGGTCGGTAATAATAATAAGCTATGATCGGTAATGATGGAAGCAAGAATATAGGCGGCGCAATGCGAGAGTGCGTCGTCGTCAATGTATAAAAAAAATGGTCTTGACAGCACGCAATAAATTTCATTAAAAAACACTGGCGCAACAACGTGGGGCTCGAATTCTAAAAAGAGCGAGGAACAGCAAATACGAAAAAGTGCGGCTCCAGTACGCACACGCAACGGACGGTAATACTCGAGAAATATATTCAGCACGGAACATTCGAGAAAAGTCAGGTTAGTGAGTCGCTTAACTTCCTTTCATTCCTTTTACTATTGTCACAATGACTAAGCAACTAGCTCAATTAAAGCAAAAACGAGCCCGAATAAAGGGGCAAATCACGCGAATACAGAACTTTTTTGACGAAAATGACAAAGTCTCCGTATCAGAAGCACAGGTTAGGTTAAAAAGGTTGGAAGAAGCCTTTTCTCGATTCGAAATCATACAAGACGAAATTGATGAGATAAAAGAAATCGAAGACGAGGAAGGAGAAGATGCAGAAAGCGAAATGGAAAGAAAACAATTCGAAGAAAGATACTACAAAGCAGCAGCAACGGCACAAGGTATTATTGACAATCATCAACATTCACAGGTAGAGTTACAGCAGAATCTTGTACGGAACAACAATGGAACTCATAGGGAAGAGCGACATAGGCCTGTGATCAAGTTACCAGAATTCAGTGGCGAATATACGAAATGGATGTTTTTCAAAGATAGTTTCGAAACGATCATCCATCAAGATGCAGGGCTTACACCGATGCAAAAACATCAATTTTTAATAGGCGTGCTTCAAGGAGAAGCTCGTAGTGTAATACAAGGTTTTAAAATCTCTAATGAAAATTATGAGAATGCATGGACACTCTTGAAGGAGACGTACGACAACAAAATGATGATAATCCAGACACACTTAGATGAACTACTAACGTTTCCAGTCATCACAAAGGATAACAAAGCAGAATCAATTCGACAATTTATTTGGCATATCCAGACACATGTATCGTCGTTCAAGGTACTTGCACAGCCGGTTAATTACTGGGAAACAATCATAATTCATTTAACGAAGAAAAAACTCGATTTCATTGAGCAACGTGATTGGCAAGATACGGTCAAGGATAAAACACCAGAAGATATGCCGACATTGACAGAATTTCTCAAATTTCTTAATGATCGGTGCCATATAATTAGAGTACTTGAGCAGGGAAAGACAAAGGTGGTGAGTAATGGAAAACAGCAACAGAAGATTGAAACAAAGAAGGAGAAAGGAGAGAAAAGGGTCACTCTGTCGACTATAAGGGTGAATTGCAGATATTGTAACGACGATCATCCAACCTATAAATGCGAAGAACTTTTAAAGCTTTCGGCACCTGAAGGGACGAAAAGTGTAATCGAAAAGAGGTTATGTATTAATTGTTTCGCACCAGGGCATTTCGGACGGGACTGTAGAGGTTCTTCATGCAGGAAATGTGACAGGAAGCATAATACGCTTCTCCATATAGAAAAGGAGGAGCCCACAACTCAAGGGAATTCAAAGAATAATTCAATCGTAACGCATGTTCGGGCGGAAGATGACAAGACAATCAAAGAAGAAGATTCCGTGGCGATGAATATTTACTGCGCACATAATAAAGCAGCGAGAGTCATGTTATCAATAGCACAGGTATACGTACGTGACTCCGACGGTAATCAACAAGCATGCCGTGCACTGTTGGATCCAGGTTCGCAACTAAATCTAATCACCACAAGTCTGCACAAAAAACTGAAGCTGCCTTTTACAAGAGATGAGCGGCACATTAATGGTATCAATCAGATAAAAACGAGTGCAAATAAGATAACTCGCATACAACTTGAATCGAAATACAGCAATTACTCAACCGAGATGGAATGTCTGGTATTTCCAAGGATCACAGAACAGTTGCCACAAACGAAGATAGATGTAGCAAAAATCTACGTTCCAAGAGATGCTCAGTTAGCAGACCCCGCGTATAACATTCCAGGCCCTATTGAAATTTTAATAGGAGAAGGTGTATACTGGAAGATACTAATAGGCTAATAGGCGCACCGAAGAATCATCGCGAAAATCAACCCTCGTTGCAGAACACACAACTCGGATTGATAATCGGAGGAGAGATAAACGAAAATGTCTCAGATACGAAGCCTTCTTGCAATTTAATTACAAATAAGGATTTACATAATCAACTCGAAAGGTTCTGGATACAAGAAACAGTGCCTGAAAAACAATTGTAATCTAAAGAAGAAATAGATTGCGAAAGGTATTTTTCTAATACAGTCAAGCAAGATCAAAGCGGCCGATTCATCGTACGTTTGCCCATGCGGCAAGATGTCGTGTTGGGAGAGTCTAAGCAGAAAACACTTGAAAGGTTCAAGTCGCTGGAAAGAAGACTGGATATAAACACGAAACTGAAGAACGACTACACTTCATTTATGCAAGACTATTTGAATAAAGGTCACATGTCATATTTCGCAGACTACGGGGAATCTCAGCCCTTA